TAGAAAAGGCGAAAGTGTATGGAAAAGGGAAGTGCACAAATGTTATTGTGTTCGACGTCCCAAGAGAGAATCGAAACAGATGAAATGACGTCTTACAATGAACGCGTCGTACATGCCAAACGCATGAAGATCAATGGATTGATGACCCAGAGAGTCATCATAACATATGAGGGGGAGGTAATCCCCAAAACTATCAAAATGGTGGAGGGCATGGCACCCTTTAGATGTGCCATCTTCAAATCTCTGACCCCGTTTTGCTCCCATTGCTCAAAGTGGGGACACGGGGCACGTGCGTGTCCACGAGAGGCACCGCGGTGCCGATACTGCGCTCTTTCGCATGAAAGCTCAGAGTGCGCAGAGAAAATTTCTGAAGGTAAAATCATCCCTCGGAAATGTGTGAACTGCCGTCAGGAGCATAATGCCAACTCGCCATTATGCGCCTACTACCCGAAAGACAGAAGGACAACACATGAAAAAAAGCAGGCAGCCCCTCCCCCAATAAACCCCGCCCAGCCCCTCGTCTTAATGACGTGCGGGAATTCCCACACCTGCAGAGGTCAACTCTGAAAGCCTCTGCAAATAAAGCCATGGCACCGGCCACATCACCAGCTGTAGCACCTGCACCAGCTGCAACACCAACGACAGCTGCAGCTTCTACTCCAGTTGCAGCACCCACTCCAGCGCCAGCTGTAGCACCAGCTGCAGCTCCTGCTCCAGTGCCAGCTGCAGCACCGACGCCATCACCAGCTCCAGCTCCTCCCTCACCGCAGCAGGAAAAGCAAGAATCCAACAGGGAAATGAAAGATTTGATACAAATGTTGTTCAAGCAGATGGAGCAGATGATGTTCATGATGCAGCAACAGATGGTGCAATTCCAGGAGAGGATTTTTGCGCTCTTCCTCGAGCAACGACAACATCCAGTGGGCCTTGGAAACGGTCAAGTGATGATCGATGGATCAAAATAATCTGTTAAAGTGCATTACCTGGAACATTAACAGTTTACAGAAACGCAAGGCGACCCTCGCTCAGTATCTTCACTCGGAAAGATGTTGATGTGTGTTGCCTCCAGGAAGTTAGAACTGATGCTCGTTATGCAAAAATTGCAGGATACACATATCACGACAAACCTAATATTGCTAATCCTTCTGCAAGAGGACTTGGTATTTACATAAAAAATAGTATCCCATCAAAAGTGATCGATGACAACCGTGACAATGCAAGTGCTGAATATCTTGGTGTTAAAATATTTCTTGATGGTAGAACCATCACCATCATTAATGTATATAACCCACATGATAGTGAAGTGGTACCTAAACCTCCCGACAGTATGATACATAATGCTACTGTCTTACTGTGTGGAGATTTTAATGCCCGTCATCCTCTCCTTGGCTCTGAGGGAAGCACCATAGGTAAAAACGGTAAGGTATATTATGATTATCTTCAAAACACCAGTGATCCCATACACCTATTGTGCCCCTTTGAAAAGACTCATTATCTAGGTGGCAAATTAGATTATATAGTCTTATACAATCAGCACCCACTCCCATGCACTGCGGAAGTTGTCCCTTTCTTAGTCAGTGATCATTGGGCATTAAGTATCACCCTCCCATTCGCTAAAAGAAGCCCGCCCCAGCCACGTCTTCGATACCATCTTGCCACTAAACATCATAATGAGTTTATTAAAAGGATTGGCTGCTGGTATGAACACTATATTCCTGCCAGCCTTGATCACTTTAATGAAACTCTCTGTCAACAAGTTGGTAACCTCATCACCCAACTCCAACCCAGAAACCCTGTCAAACATAGGTCTTCATCCTCCAGAGGCAAACGAGCATATCACCTTAACAAAGATCCGGAAATAAAGCTACTTAGAAAGTTAATAAGGTCTACAGTAAATCAGCTAAAAAACCTGGGGAAAAATCCCTACTTAGCTAGGGACCTTGTTTTCTTTAGTAAAAAACTTAATGAGATAATGACACAAAAGCGGAAGAGAGATTGTATGCCTGGGCAGAATCGATTGACTCCACGAGCTCCATGAGTAATGTGTGGAGGGAAATCAATAAGATTAAAGGCAATGCACACAATGTCACTCCCCACCCTCATCCAGAAGGGTAGCTTTGTCAATCCTCAGTAAATGCTGCGAAAACTCTTCTCTCGATAATCTTCCATTCCATTCGTAGATGCTCCCTTAAGTCAAAACACAAAAAATGAAATTAACTATCAGTGCCAACTTTTAGATGAGGCTGATGCACCATTTACAAGACACGAACTTCTTGCAGCCATTAAAACTAGCAAATCCACTGCACCTGGGGATGATGGAATCACTTACGACATCATCCGACTCCTTGCAAAGGTACAGGTACAGGGAAGAAATCCTCTCCTTGATCTTTTCAACTTAACTTATTCTACAGGCATCTTGCCTACTTCCTGGAAACAAGCCACCATTATTCCTATCCCAAAACCAGGGTGTCCTGATGAATTTAGACCGATTTCTCTGACA